GGTTTCGTAGGCGGGGTTTGGAGGTCTATTTGAGGTATATTTGAAATCTGTCCCAGTACCCCCAGAATGCCCTATATTTTAAGCGAATTGAATTACTTGCAACACTTCTTAAAAATGATGACATAGTAGCATTTTTGAAAGAGTTTAATAACGATTTAGCCTCCATTCCCTATTTTGAAAGCCAGCATGCGGGAAAATACGAAGGATATTACCATTCACACATCCATATGTTAGTTCGTTATATCGGACTGCCATTTCGAAGTGAAGATGCTACAAGTGAAGATCGAACTGATATGTGGATAAAAGCTAGGAATTTCATTTATTACATTGAGTTTAAGCGATATGAAGATAAAAATAATAGTAATCAAGCAATCATGAGCTTAATCAAAGGGGCAATCGATCAAATATTTGAAACAAAATATTATAATAATCATACAGATCCAGAATCCTATAACAAGATGAGATATGCTATTGGGTGTGTTTGTTCAACGGGAACTCGAAAAATTTGTGGAGTAGGAATTCAAAAATTCACTTACGGATCAAATGGACTTGAAAAAATGGAATCACAAAATTTCTTAGATGAATTTTCTTATTAGCAGTAATGAAATGTAATTCATTGATAAAATATATGTTTCATATTTGCATTGAATAATAAAGTATTTATCTTGCATTTGTACTTGAAGTAATTAATAGCAGTTGCAAGATATAAAAAAAATAACATGCGCTTTATTAAGTTTTTGAGTAATAAAAAATAGTTGGTAGCGAATGAAATATATGATATTTTTCAAAGGGAGGAAGTTCGCGGATCCTATGCCATATAATGCAAGTCCCTGCATCATATTATATTGCTTCTTACATTTCCGAAAAAATTTTACCGCTAATTGTTTCTATCGTTAATATTGTTAACTATCATTAATAAATGATTCACCGTTATCCATATTTACAAATTGTTGCCCATCTATATATAACTCACGGACCATATAGAGGAAGTTCTGCGATATGGAATAATTCGAATCTATAGCATAAATCAGGAGATTAGCAATAAGTGTATGCCAATAATTCCGATAAAATTAAAAATGCTCCTCTTTCCTACCATTATATTTTATTTTCACTCCGCCCTATGATCAAAAGATTTATTTCTCAACGCATTATAGCGGTATGTAATAATTTTTGTTTTTAGAATTTCGCCACACTTTTGCTTTTCCATTTTACCAATCACAGATGACGTACTAGACTTCGAATCTCGCCTATTGTCAACTTCAGGAGGATCATCAACAATCATCTCAACATTCTTTCCACAATCGGGGAATAGACACACACAGTCGCAGTGTGTAAAAGTTTTCTCTCAATGCAAAGTCTATGGAACACATGGGAACGTTTCCAGTAAAATCGTTATGAGATATAGTAAATCATATGATCTGTAATGTGATTTTACTGGAAATGCTCCCACACATGTAAATAGCTAAGTACCGTGAACGCCTTGATAGGAAGCATTAAGATCTCGGTCCCAGCTCCGGAACTTCCATGTCTCTAACAGATACATCCTCGATATTTTTTAAGATGTTATAAGCAAGATTCTTAAGACTGTTTAAAGACATGATCCAATACAAAACATATGCGAAAAGTGAGGCGGATTATATTCCCCACCGAAGGAGTTTTTTATAGCACTTGAATTCTCAAGAGAAAATGATCCCCAGATATTTCGATAGTTTATGCTCAAAAGATTATGAGCGGAGTAATTGATATTTTGAGTGGATTGATTGAATTATGCGTTTGTAAAGAGTAGAACACTTTTTTATTGTTTCTCTTATCAGATAACACTGTCATATCCAGTTTTTTTATAAAATAAATAATTCTTCGCAGTTAATGCTACGATCGTCGCAAAACATGAAAGTCCCATTTAATAAAGTTATTGGCAGTGCCACATCGTTAAAAAAAAAAAAAAAAAACATGAAAGTCCCTGAAACAAATATGGTAATCCTAATATTTATTAATTTGCTGATTCCAATTCTGAAATTAGTATGCGAGCATCAAAAAATAATAGCATATAGAGATAAATCATGACTGGTTATGTGATCGTATGCAAATGTTCAAAATTTTTTATTTGGGGGGGGGCCCCCCCCCCCCCGGGGGGGGGGGGGGGGGGGGGGTGGTTGTGTGTGGGGGGGGGGGGGGGGGGGGGGGG